TAAGAGCAAAACACATCAACAAAAGATACCCGTTAACAAGAAAGAGGGTTCTGAGGAAGTGCCAATATTTTTCAGCCTTTCTTTTTTCCAGAAAAGCATCCTCAGAAATGAATACTCTGTATTTATGTTTCTCCTGTCCATTTAGAAAAAGCATGGCAGCTACACATCTCCATGTTTCAGCTACAACACCCTAAGAGTTAGTGTATTTTACAATTACTCATATATCTTCATTTGAAAAACTGTCAACGGAAACTAAGGATGATTCCAGCTTACACAATTACATAATATAATGTCTACAGAAATAAAAACAAGGCATACAAAATTTATTTAAATAAATACATGTGACCAGAAAAAGAAAAGCCACAGCAATCAAGCAATTCCATGTTAAATTATAGCCTACTTTCGCACTGCGTCTTTTAGGAATTTAGTATTTTTTGTTTTTGTTTTTTACTGGTAAGCTTCTTTAAAAGTGTTTCTTTTACATACTTAAGATTGGTAACTAAGAGAGCCTGAGACAAGAGACTGATTACACATAACCTGACTGTAAAGATTTAAATATATAGCATACCAATTGAGAAATTAAGTATGTCTGGTTCAAAGAATTGTTTGGGACTAACAATGGGATATACAGGTTACCACAGATCATCTTCATAAAATCATCCACACCATCACTAGAGCTATAAATTCACTAGTTCATTTTTAGAAGACTTGTAATGTTAAATTATTTCTTAGGACAATTTTACCTCAGAGGAATTACTTTACTATGTTATTTAAAAACAAAACAAGGTGAAATGATTTGTCTTATCCTTCACAGCCATTTAATCAAATAACAAGGTTTTATGCTGATGTTTTAGCTCTTAAGGCCTGAATTTGCTGTATCAAATAGCCAATCAGTGAAATGATCCTTTCTCTTCAGTAATCATAGAACTGGGTTTTTATGATTAATGAAATTTATATGTTTCTATGTGAATTAAGTCAAGATGAAACATTAAAACTAGCACAAAAACATTTTAAATATTTAACAAAACCTAATTGCTTGCTTGTACTAATTGAACTTTTTCAGTGTACGAAGGGAGAAGGCACTGAGTTTTTAAGTAATAGTATGTATGATTCTGAAACATAAAAATGCTTCTGAAATCTAAAGTACAAATGAAATAGAAAAGCCAGTATGTTTGAAAAAAAAACCAAATTTTAATTTCAAGTACGCTAATTTTGTTAAAAATTCAACGAAGCTGTGTGCTGGTGAACACCTGTAATCCTAGCACTCTAAGAGGCTGAGGCAGGAGGACTGCAAATTTGAGCCTAGCCGGGGCTGAGGATATAGCTCAGTGCAGAGACCCTGACTTCAATCTGCAGTACTGCCAAAAGAAAAAACTTAAGTCAAAAAATGGACACCCTCATTAAAAAATTGAGCTCTGAAGATTTTTTCTCTTTTAACCATAACCTTAATTGGGTCTCAGATACTGTTTTAAATATAAATGTGTATTTAGTTTATTTAGTAACACCACAAATATGTATCACAATAACAATGGAATTAGAATTTTTAACAATATTTATTTTGGGAATAATTAATTGACAACATAAATCCTTAGTGTTTATGTTCAAATGTATATTCCATGAGATGAGCTTCTAAATTTTTCTTTCTATGCAAACGTTAAAACTTTAGTCACTTACTCAAATCTATGTTGTAAAATAATGGTATTTCAAAAGCAGTCTTCAGTAATGCTCATAGATAATACCTGATTTCTGTAGAGTTTATTTTTGGAAGTCATGTTTTGTACTTAGTGTTTAACACAATATTTGATATAAAGAAACATACAAAATATGTTGTGGCTCAATCATAACATTAAGCTTGCTGCAAATAGGCTAAACCATTTTAATAATAAAATGTTACACGATTCTGTATGAATGGCTTTTTAGATACAGATAATGAAAATATAAAATCATAAAACTCACAATTTAATAGAAAATGTTAGATAATATAAAAACTAAGTGCCAATTTCCTGGTGGTCTGATGGTTGAATTCAATGTCAAATAACAACATATTAACTCTCAATTATACTGAACCAATGAAATACTACTTGAGTAATAAATGTTTTTTTTAAATATAAAGTCATTAAAATAGGAACAATAAAAAAACTCAAGGAATTGAGATTTTTTTTCTGAAAGAACTGAGATTTAGATGTTAAGTGAGGAACTTGAAGCACTCTAGAAATAACAATATTTGAGAAGATGAGCAACTATTCTTTTTTTTCTACTGGGTTACAGAAATGGATTTAAAGTTAAAACAAGGAGACAGAATAGGCATGAAGAACACTTCCGTCACACATGGATTATGAGTTAAATAGTGGAGAGGTAGAATGATACATAAACAATAAAGTGATTTGAGGACAGAAATGCGTAGGTGCACCATAGCATGTTGTGGGCTCCACTTTTCTTGAATGTTAATTTTAAAACTTACAGAAAAGCTTTTGATAACTTTTGTGTTAATAGCTCAACGATTATTGGATTCACTTAATCACGAGTTTATTTAGAAGAGCATATGGTAGCTGTGGACAAAATCTGCATAGTTTATAACTTAAAAGCTAAAATGCACTTTTATCTGCTGAAAAGAATACTGCCAGTCAAGGGAATATTTAGAAATATTTCATTCTGAAAGAGCCTCCTGCATGTGGGAATACTACACAATTTGCAGAATGATCTAGATAATCAATGCATGTACCGATTAACTTTAGCTGGCAAGATAAATTAATATATAAAGGAATCTATGAATAACTTTGTAATAACCTTCATAGAACTAGTTTAACATAAATTTATAAAATATGGCATAGAATAGAATTTAATGTCAAGTTCTAGATAATGTATGTTCTGAATGTGAAAATAGGAGTACTGTACTCAAGTATGTTTTAGTAGGAATTCTCACAAAATTTGGAGTTAATGATCTAGGAGTTAATGATCTCTGATGAAATATTTATGTCCATAAATATGAAAAAAGGAAGTAAGTTTACTGAAATATGTTTCCATTTTAAATAACTTTTAAGAAAGAGTTATAGGGACTAGAAAGCTTACTA